AGAGAGAGACAGAGAGAAAGGTCTTCCTTTGCTGTTGGTTCACCCTCCAATGGCCGCTGCGGCCAGCGCACTGTGGCCGGTGAACCGCACTGATCCGATGGCAGGAGCCAGGTGCTTCTCCTGGTCTCCCATGGGGTGCAGGGCCCAAGTACTCAGGCCATCCTCCACTGCACTCCCAGGCCACAGCAGAGATCTGGCCTGGAAGAGGGGCAACCAGGACAGAATCCGGCGCCCCGACCGGGACTAGAACCCGGTGTGCTGGCGCTTCTTCCGGCACCTTTCTCGTCCGGCTTTCCCCTAGGCTCTTCGCTAGTCTCTCTCTCCGGTAATTTTCCACTTCTTCCCGTTTCTTCCCTCCTAGGTTTCCTATCCGTCCTAGGTTTCCTATCCGTGCTAGGTTTCCTATCCGAGTCATGGCACCATTATGTCGCTCCCCGTCTTCGTGGAGGAACGACACAGGACCCTGCGCTGTTCTTTCGTCTGCTCGGCTCTCCCCGGGTTTGCTGCTGGTTCTTCCCGGGTTGGCTACCGTCCCTTCCACCTCCGTGGAAGGGCAGTTCCCCCTGGCCGCATTCCCCACTTCCGCAGGGGAGCGGCACACTGCCGGCCGGCTCTCTCGGGGGCTGCACAGGTGTTCCTTCAGATGTTCCCCATAGATGTTCCCGGTGCATGCCGTCTCTCTCCTCCTTTATAGTCCTCCTCCGCCAATCCCAACTCGGCTGCCCACACGCCGAGCAAGCCGCTCTCCTCCAATCAGGAGCAGCTCCTGCAGCTTGTCAAGTTGGTGAGAGGCAGCTGGGTAGAAGCTGTTTACTTCTCTCCCAGCGCCATATTGTGGGAGAGCAGATGCATAGAATAAATCTTAATTCCAGTAACAGTATAGTCCGAATTGCTCCCCACACACATCAGAAATCTATTTTCTTTGGCATGTTCAATCAATCATTGTCCCCTTATCTCAATGGCAAAGGTTGTTCCAGGGTTGAAGGCCTAGGAACCAGGCTTCCACTGCTGCTGGAGGGAGCAGGCCCTCACCCCCTTTCCAGCCCGCAACTTGGCTGTGTGGATCAAGAACTGTGACCCAGTAATTCCAGTCAGACAAGTGTGCAGGGACATGGACCACACAACGTGCTTGGGAACAGGGAAGACGTGACGACAATGATAAACACCACACACTAGGGACCTGCTAACATTACATACCTGCGACACATGGAGAAATTCTGAGCAGTATCGAGTGCTAACATACTAAAGTTGTTGTGATGTACTGATAAGTAAAAATACTCAGGGCCAGAGCCGCAGCTCACTAGGCTAATCCTCCACCTTGCGGCGCCGGCACACCGGGTTCTAGTCCTGGTCGGGGCGCCAGATTCTGTCCCGGTTGCCCCTCTTGCAGTCCAGCTCTCTGCTGTGGCCCGGGAGTGCAGTGGAGGATGGCCCAAGTGCTTGGGCCCTGCACCCCATGGGAGACCAGGAGAAGTACCTGGCTCCTGCCATCGGATCAGCGCGGTGCGCCGGTCACAGCGCGCCGGCCGCGGCGGCCCTTGGAGGGTGAACCAACGGCAAAGGAAGCCCTTTCTCTCTCTCACTGTCCACATGCCTGTCAAAAAAAAAAAAAAAAATACTCAGACTGTAACATATCAAACACAGCAGAATTTAAGCGATGGACAGTATCTAAAAGACCCACAAAGCACCAAAACGTGAACAAGCAGCAGCTCTTCTGGGGAGGGGCTTCAAGTGATTGTTTCTTTTTGCTATCTGTCTGTATCCTCTAATTTGTGTATAATGTCTGGTCACACTAACAAGAAACCGGTCCCTCTACACAGCCCGTTGCCTAGATGGTCCCTCTGCCTCCCCAGCCTTTAATTCTACAGTCACTGAGCAGCCCTAAGAACCAGGAGTTCGGGGGAAGACGTTTCATCTGAGCCTTACTCGATGCTCCCAACACGCAGAGGGAGGCACTGCTGCACTCTGATCCCTGCACGGGGCTCCCCACAATGAAGATGTCTGCACTGCTACCAAGTACATGAGGGTAGGACGACGACGACGACAACAAAGCCAAGGACCGGAACAGACATCTCTTCAAGGAAGACACACAAATGGCCAGTGCCACAAGGAAAGATGCTGAACACGAGCAGTTATTAAGGAGATGCAAATTATGCCACAGTGAGACTGGACACCACCAGGAAGGCCACCACCTGTAACACGGGCACTAACGAGTGAGGTGAGGCCGGCAGGTCGCTCGCACCTGCCTGGTGGAATGCACAAGGAGCAGCTGTGCTTGCTGCCACTGCCCTATCTGCGGTGAAGTCTCCTTTCAGATCAGATACTGCGTGGAAAGTATTTGCAAACCGTACCTCATAATAAGAAAACTTTCTATCTAGAATATGTTAATTAAAAAACACTGATAAAACTGGTCAATGAAGTCAGTAAGTTTCAGGATATAAAACCAACATACAGGAGCTGCCGCTGTGGCGCAGCAGGTTAAAACCATGGCCTGCAGTGCTGGCATTTCATATGGGCACAGTTTGAGTCCCAGCTACCCCACTTCCAATCTAGCTTCCTACTAATGCGCCTGGGAAAGCAGCAGAAGATGGCCCAATTACTTGAGCCCCTGTACCTACCTGGGTGACCCAGAAGAAGCTCCTGACTCCTGGCTTTGCCTTGGCCTGGCCCCACCCCGGTCATTGCAGCCATTTGGGGAGCGAATCAGCAGATGAAAGATCTCACTCTCATCTCTCCTTCTCTCTAACTGTGGCTTTCAAATAAATATATATTTATTTTTTTTACAATGTTATAAAAAAAATCCATCATACAAAAATCAGTATCTTTTTTATACAATAACCAACTTGCTGAAAAAGCAATCAAAAAAGCAATCCTATTCACAATAGCAAAAAAAAAAAAAA